TGTGTGTGTGTGTGTGTGTGTGTGTGTGTGTGTGTGTGTGTGTGTATTGGGGATTGAACTCAGATCCTTCTTCTTGTGAAGCAGGTGGCAGAAGCAGTGAGCTAAATCCCCAGCCCATAAAATTTATATTCTAAGACCAAGATGTTAATTGGGTAAAGGCAGAGTAAAGATTATAAAGGGGGAGAGAGGTTCACTGTCCCATTCCCCACCTTGAAGTCCCATGGAATCTTTTTTTTGAGACAGGGTCTTGCAATGTAATTCAGGACTCAAATTCACGGGAATCCTCCTGCCTCAGCCTCTCCAGTGCTGGGATTACAGGCATGCAGCACCATGCCTTGCATATCTGCTACATTTTTTCAGAATAGCTTCGATTTTAGAGATTACCTGTTTCTGATAGAGGAAATATGTCTTTGTTTTGTTTTGGGGTTGTTGGTTTGTTTGTTTTTGGTACTGGGGATCAAACTTGGGACCTTGCACTTACAAGGCAGGCAATACCACTGAATTAAATCCCTGGCCCCAGATTTTTTTTTTTTTTTTTGGTGGTGGGGATGGAACTCAGGACCTTGCACTTTGAAGATAGACATGGTGCCACTGAGCTAAATATCTGCCCTAATTCTTGTTTTATTTGTTTGTTTTTTGAGACAGGGTCTCACTATGTAGTTCAGATTGCTCTGATACTCACTGTGTAGCCCAGGCTGGTCTCGAACTTGAAGTGATCCTCTTGCCTCAGCCTCTTGAGTGCTGGGATTACAGACATGCGCCACCCTGCCAGGCTCTGGCCCTAATTCTTAATGTTCTTACTGTCCCTTGACATGAGTATTGCTTATGTAAAGTGGCAGACATGAGACATGAGTGAAACCTTTAACATGTTCACTGTGGAACCATAATTCAGATGTCTCACTGCCAGGCAGCTTGAACCACCGGTAGTACGTACATGACCATCCCTTTGGATGACTTTTTATTAATTTTACAGTAAAAAGACCATTAAAAGTGATTAGATCCATTTGTATTACCCGTGGTACAGGCCACCTGATGAGAGTCATGCATGTACCACCTGTGGTTTAAGCTGCTTGGAACTTGTCAAGAGTAGGCATTATTTTAGACCCTTTCTTCAAGACTGCTAATGTCTGTTACTGATATTTCATAAATTCCTAATGTGTGCTTTTTTGATTGGCTTTATTTATGATTTAAAGAGCTTAATGAGCAAATAATCCATTTCTCTGAGGTAGGGATAAAGCCCAAGAACCATGTGGGTGAGCATGGAACAAACATTCAAGGGCCAAACAGGAAGATACCCAGAAAGACTTGTGTTAATGGTACAGCTTTCTCTGGCACAGTGAATATATGTACGTAGCACCTGTAATCCCAGTGCTCAGGAGGCTAAGGCAGGAGTATTGCTGCAAGTTCAAGGACAGCCTGGGCTACAAAGTAAGTTCACAGCCAGTCCGAACTATGTAGCAAAACGCTGTCTCAAAAAAATAAAGTTTTTTCAAATACTTCACTTAGACCACAGAGGAGGTTTGCTTTATCTTATACATGCATGTGTGCTTTATTTCCTAATTTATCTGTTTTAATCTTGTTCTCTCTTAGTGAAAAGAAATCCTTTTAAAAAATTAAAAATGCTTTATTTTAACCTTTTATTTATCTTTTTAATCTGTTACAATGGGCACTAGACTGAAAGTATAAAATGTCTGGGACTCCTGGTAATCTTAGTAGTCTTTGTGACCATTAGTCTCTCGGTCTTAAGGATTCTTTTTCACATTTATTACAATAAAATATATATTGCCATTAGTTCCACTCAAAAAATTAAGGAATCTTATTATGAAAAAGAATGAAGCGACATGTGTATATGTTTTAACTTTTGAGTGAAACATTTTAGAATTGTTGATAGCTCTACCATATTTGTCACTAGAATGTCTCTTTTCATCATAGCCTTGAAAATCAAAGAATCTCCCTTACTGATTTGGTAATAAGTTGGTACAAAATATGCTTTAATGATGGGGAGTAATGAGATTATACTTTTAAGTTTACGTGTGTTTTATGTGTAATTCTGTCTGTGAAACCAGTCTCAGGAGTCTGGTAGGTTTTTTTCTATGGCTACTTCTCTGCATTTTAAAAATAGAGTTGATTCCTATATTTATTGAATTTTGTATCATGACCTTTTCTTTTTTCTTTAACCTGGGATTGAACTCAGGACCTTGTGCTTGCAAGGCAGGTGGTGGCACTACTGAGCTAAATCCCCAGTCTATCTTGACCTTTTGAATGTAATGTCAGAAGACTAATGCTAGAAATCTCATAAGCATATTTAAAATATTAGCCAATGAGAAATGTAGCTGGCGCCTACCTTGCAAGTGCAAGGACCCGAGTTAAATCCCTGGTACCAAAAAAAAAAAAAGAAAGAAAGAAAGAAATGTTGTAGAACAAAAATCAATTGTAAGAGCAACAAAGAGAGTAAAAGAGAATAAACTTGACAGAAAATGTAAAAGATTCATGTGAAACTGGGTGTGGTGGCACACGCCTGTAATCCCACCACACAGGAGGCTGAGGCAGGAGGATCTCTTTGAGTTTGATACCAGCCTGGGCTACATAGTTCCAGAGCAGTCTCAACTACATAGTGAGACCCTGTCTCAACAAAACAAAACAAAACAAAAGATTCATGAGAAAAGAAATGTTAAAAATTGAGAGATAAAAGGATGACTTTAATGTTTGTGAAGATATGAGAGTGGACAGAGGGCCTGTTGTGTAGCTCAGTGGTACCACACCTGATTCTCTGGTAACAACAACAACAACAACAACAACAACAACAAAAAAGAGTAGATACATGGTGGCTCACACCTGGAATCCCAGCACTCAGGGAGACCCAGCCTGGGCAATTTAGTGACATAGCCAGACCCTGTCTCAGAGTGAAAAAGGGGTGGGCGTGTAGCTCAGTGCAAGGCCCTAGGTTCATTCCCCAGTACGAGGGTAAGGATGGGGGCGAGCAAGATGAGAACAAATCCTGCTGATGCAATAGTATGCAGAGCAGTGGAGCAAGGTAGCGTCCAGTGAGCATGAGAATTTAATGTATGTATTGTAGAGGAGGCATTTCAAATAAAACCACTCATTCAGTAAATGGTGTTGGAACAACCTGGTATGGGAAGCTAACTTTGGTGGTGTAAAGTTAGCTTCTTACCCAGCTCTGTAGATCAGAGTTACTTAGTCATACGTAAGTAAAATCCTTTTGCATGGCAGCAGTATATGAATGTTCAGAATGAAGCTGAGTGAATATTTTCCATTCTTACAAATGATGAATTTCTTAAATAAAAAATCACCCTAAATCATTGGGGAAAAACCTGGCATAAAATGAGCAAAATAAAGTCAGCCTCAAGTGTTTTTTCATATGTTGAAACTTCTCTCATTATAAGAGAAATTTAGATCTAAATTAATGAAGTTGGTTTGTTTTTTGCCTGTTAAGGTTGGCAAAGACCAAGGATTTGGATCATGCATCGCAGTGGCACAGGTTTGAGAAGCCATGTGCCTTCGCATAGTATATATTACTGCCGCCTCTTTGGAGGGAAGCCTGGTAGTACCTGACAAACTGAGAATGAATACTTGTTGTATTGTCACTTCTACACTTCTGTTCTCAGGTATAGGCACGTTATCACAAAGGTGTGTTTGCAGATGATGTGGGAGAATACTAGTGGAAAAAGTCTCAATGCCTGTTAATAATAGACTCTTTGAAAAGTTTTAGTGCTTTCCTTAGGACTCTGAAAAAGGGCAGATGCATGGGTACCACTTTGGGGCTACCAGCAGAAGTCTGTTTTAGTTAAAAAACAAAAAGAAATGTAACAAGGTACAGAAGAGACCACAAGACTCTTACACTGTGTGTACACAGTGTGGCATCACTAGAAATAATGTGTAAGAAGTGGGACTGGGTGGATGAAGCAGGACACTGGCTGGGGATGGAGATGACGGACTTATTTTTCAAAATTAACTGACGTTGTAAAAAAAAAAAAGAAAAAAATCCCTCTCCTAAATTCTTAAGAGGTGGAGCTTGTGTTGCCCAGACTGAAGCATCATGGGTATTCAGAGGCACTGACCCACCTCTGATACCTATTCTGCCCCAACTCGGGTGGCAGTGCAGACCCCACTCCTCATTCCACTGATCTTCCTGTCTCAGTCTCCCAAGTACCTGGGACCACAGACATGTGCCACTTGCACCTGGCTTTGTTAAGAAGTCTTAGCCATGAACCTGTATTTATTCATTTTAAAATAATGGGGGCTGGGAATTTAGCTCAGTGGTGCCACTGCCTGCTTCACAAGCACAAGGTTCAGAGCTTGATCCCCAGTACCAAAAATGATAATAATGTGTAGTAGTAAGTAATATAAAATATACTTGGCAAAAACAAGACAGCCATTATTTGAATCTTTTAAAAAAAGATGTAATTCACCAGCCTCTTGAATTTTTAAATATCCCATTAACAATAACATATTTCATTTGACCATCTCTCCAGTTCTTAACAATTCAAATTAAATAAGTAGTCAATATTAGAATAAAAATTACTCTTCTTGATTTACCATACTTTGTATATTAGCCACATTCCCTGGTGTCCTTTATTTGCATGACATTTTTTAAATGGGAAGTTTAAGTTATAATTCATATACTATCCATTTCACCCATTTAATTAATGTATTCACAATTTTGCAACCATCAGTTAATTTTAGAACATTTTTCTGAAGTCCCCAAGGAAGTTCAGCCATTTTATATTGACTCCTCATTTCCCTTTGACAGCACTCCCTACCCTGACCCCCACCTCCACCCCACCCAGGCCTAGGCCATTTGTATTTTTTCATTCTCTAAGAATTTGCCTGTTCTGGATCTTTCATATAAATGGAGTAAAACAGCATGTCTTGTTTTGGCTTTCATTTAGCATAACTGTTCATTCAGGGTTCATCCATGATGTGTTAGTGCTTCATTTCTTTCTGTGACCAAGTGCTACTCCGTTATATCTTACTCATTCCACATCTTATCCAGCCATCAGCTCATAAGCATCTGTTGATTTTCTTTTTTGGCTAATATGATGGATGCTACTACGAACACTTGTGTAATTTTTTTTTTAATAGATGTGTGTTTTCCGTTCTTTTGGATATATTTTACCTAGGAGTAGAATTTCTGCATCATAGGATTACTTTATGTTTACTATTTTGAGGCACTACCTGATTCCCAAAGTTGAGGCACCAGGTTACGTTTCTGTCAGCAGTGAACATGTAAGGCTACCAGTTTTTCCAAAACCAACCCAATATTGTTATTATCTTGGGTTTCTTTTTTCCTGGCTGTCCTACTGTGAGGTGGTATCTCATTTTTGGTTTGATTTTCATTTCCATGATGGCTGATGATACTGAGCATCTACTTTGGTGCATGATAGTCTTACATGTAATAGAAACTCCTCATTATCACCTACTTTCCTACAATTTGTAAATATCTACCACAGATGCATTTCTCATAATTCTGCATTCAGTGTATTTGCATGTCTAGGTTTCATCCCCTAGAGGATCATGTTAGGAGTCCTTTTATTCTTGTCAAATTGGATATTTTAGCCACTGTGAGAAATGTGTTCTAATAAAGCGTTGAGTCACAATGCATGGTGATCTTTCTGATATTTTTGTTAAAGTTCATGTTTTGCTTTTGTTGCAGTATTTCACTGGCCTTGAATGTGGACATAAGTTTTGTATGCAGTGCTGGAGTGAATATTTAACTACCAAAATTATGGAGGAAGGCATGGGACAGGTAAGAGCGTCAGTTTGATTTTCTGTTTTTGTTGAATTTCCTATGGTGTTTAGACCCTTGTGTAAACATATTTTTCTGGACAATGAATTCCATGGACAACATTTTCTAGATTAAAACTACTAGAAAATATCTTTTTCTTTCCTGTTTACAATATGATGTTCCAATTAAAGATCCAATCTAGTTAGTTTCCTCAGCAGCATTGGTATTGGCATTTATCAGGCTAAACGTGCTATATTTTGCTTTTACCTTTCAAGTTTTCTACTAAAGAAAACAATTACTCAGGTCAGCAATCCTAGCTAACACACACACACACACACACACACACACACACACACACACTCTCTCTCTCTCTCTCTCTCTCTCTCTCTCACACACACACACACTTGCTTCAAATTGAAAGGGAAGGATTGAGCTCCTATAAACATTACAATATCCCCAGAACCTAGCGAAGTGCCTGGCAATGGTAAGCATTTAGTAAATATTTGTTGAATGAAGACATAGTTTAAATTTCAATCTTTTTCAGACTATTTCGTGTCCTGCTCATGGTTGTGATATCTTAGTGGATGACAACACAGTTATGTAAGTATTTTTGATAGATTCTGCATGTCAGTATTGGCTAGCTGTTTAAACCAAATTAACTTTCACTAAGCACTTCAAATGAGGTGACCTTTTAAAAGTTTGAAGAGTCGTTCTAATTTATATTTTTTGGTAGCCCAAAAACACATTTGTAATTTGGTTAAAAGTCCAGTGAGTATTCTGGTAAATTTGGTGACACATGGTAGCTAGATTTGGTAGTCCCTAGAATGAGAGAAACAGGGCATATCCGTGTGATAGTTGAAATCCTTGGGATTTAAAAAGAAAGAGACAGATTAAAAGGAGGGGTGCGTAGTGTAGAGATTTAGGGGAAAAACAGGAGCAGACCGATCTCGTTTAAGTCTGCTCCCTGGTGAAGGAGAGAAAGGGGAAGATCTCAGTAGGAAGAGACTGGAGACTTGTGCAGCTATGCAGCTAATAGAAACTCTAGGACTCATATTTCCTGTAGAAAAATGCAGTAAGCAGGAAAATGCTTTTGCAGTGTTCAGTCACCTGCTGGGACTAGCCAGTAGGAGTGTGGCCTCTGTTGGAACTCAGCTGTGGAGCTCACAGATACTGCAGCAGGAGGCCATCATCATCTAACTACTCTCCTTGTGAAAAGCTCCTCTTTTGAAGGGAAAAAGATACTTGGAAGGGAAAAACAAATAGTGGGTTGCAGAGCCTGGAGTAAAATCCCAGAATGCTTAGTTCCTGGTCAGCACTTTCAGTAACCTTAAGTTACCTGATTGACTTCATTCCAGGATGACAAACTGAAATTTTGATGAGCCAGAAATAAATTGTGTAAAAAGAGTCCTAGATAATGGCCTACACAGAAAGGTACATTTACAGTGAAAGATGGTAAAGATCAAAGCAGCCATGGACTTTCATGAGGAAATTCCTTCCCTCCTTCCTCCTGCCCTGCCCTGCCCTGCCCTGTACCAGGCATCAAGCTCAAGACCTTGCACTTGTGAGGTAGGCACAATGTCACTGAGCTAGATCCCTAGCGTGAATAACTTTCTTAACCTAATAAAGTTACTTCAATATAGTTGTTTAAATAAAAATCACTAGTTCTACTTTCTTAACTTTAGTCTGCTTTGATGGCGTTGGATCATATTTATTGTTGTTGCAGGCGCTACATTAATCCTTTCTCTTTCTGAAAGTTAGGCTAGCAAAACCAGTCATATATCACCTGGGAATACCACCATTCGTCCAGTCTTTTGTTTTTGTTTTTCTTGTACCAGTGATTGAGTTCAGAACCCTTCACGGCACACCTGAGCTAAATCTCCAGCTCTTCCAGTTGTCTTTATCTTGTTCCCTGATGCTTTCTGATCCCTAGTATTCTTTCATCAAAACAATAGTTTTGCTGGGTGTGTTGGTACACCGTGTAATGGCAGCACCAGGAAGGCTGGGGCAGGATGAGTAACATAAGTTCAGTGCCAGCCCGGACTGAAGATGCTGTCTCAAAAACAACAAAATAAAACAAACCATCATCACAACAAAAGGAGGCTGAGGCAGAGGATCACCTAAATTCAAGGCCTGCCTGTCTAGCCTAAACTACATAGCGAGACCATGTCTTTCAGAAAGAAAAAACGGTTTTATCATACAATTTCATCAGTACAGATGATTGCATCCTTTCATTTCATAGACACTTACTGGGAGCCTGCTTGCTAGCACATAATCACAGGGGAACAACAAATTAAAATATAGAGTCTTCCCCCAAGAGGTTCACAGTAATAAATAACTATGATGTAAGAGTTTAAGTTTTTTTTAAAAAATGCAAGAAACAAAATGCAGAAACAAATTGTCCTCCCTGAAGCAAGTTAGGAGAGTAACATAAAAGGGTTGAAAGAGGGCTGGGGATTTAGCTGAGTGGTTCCACTGCCTTCCTCGCAAGCACATGGACCTGAGTTCGAGTCCCAGTACCAAAAAAAAGGGTTGAAAGAGCGGAAGCTAAGTATTAATGAAAGAACTTCAATATTTTTTAGTAGGTCAGGAACTTCTCTATTCTGTGGGGCTAGAGCACAAGGTAAGGAGAGATGACAAGAGTGATAGTTTTTACTTTTATCATAAATATTAAGTGCTGTGTTTGTTATATTGTCCAGGTCAGCCTCAAACTTGTGATTTTTCTGCCACAGCTTTCTGAGCAGCTGTGACTACAGCATGTACCACCATGCCCAGCCTGAGAGTCTCTGCTGATTTCATCATTAAATTTTTTTAAATAAACATAATTTAATTCTTTGACCATATTCGTCATAGCGGCTTAGAGGTCTTTGCTAGCTCCAAGTCCTTGGCTCCCTCAGAGTTCTGACTGCTTTTTCCTTATGAGTATTTTCTTCTTCATGTCTATTCTATAAATTTTAATTTGAAAGGGCATTTTTGTGTGATAAACTCTGTATTGTTTTCTAGGTCTGTTTGCCTATTTTCTTCCCTTGTACACTCCCACCCTCTATGGTATCTTTGTCCTCCTGCAGTGTACAGCTGTTCATAGCTTTGCTCAGTTTAAAATTTGTATTTTTTAACCCGATTTCCTAATGGTCACTTTTTTGTGTAACAGAATTTTTACTTGAAATATACTCAATCCATAAGTCTTCCAGTCTCTGTAGGTGACTCTGAAGTAAGGCCGGGGAATGCATTTAAAGTTGGAGCCAACTCTCGAGTCTCACTTGACTTTGAGTTTGCTGGACTCTTTCTTCCCTGCATAGCTTACATACTTGCCCTAGTCCAGTCATAGCAAACCTATTGCATGTGTGCTGCAGTGGGCACACAGAGCCCCTCTCTGTCACCCCCGTGAGCCAAGTCACCCCAGCATCATCCCAGCAGCTCAGCATTCAAGTTTAATTGCAATGTTGGCACTTTGGGATAATTAGGTGGGTTTTGCATTGCAGGTTTGGGCACTTGGTCTCTAAAAGGTTCGCCATCACTGCCCTAGGTGTTTGTTGGAAATACTCAGATTTCTACCTCCAAGTGAGAGCTCTTGTGAGCTTGGGACCTTCACATCTCACTGCCTCTCTGACAACTCCATGTTTGTGTCCATCCCTGCTTACTACCTCCTCCACCACCAAATGTACTTGCTCTTAGAGATTTTCTTGGAACTACAAGCCTTGGTGATACCCCTGATTTTTTTCTCCTGCATCTCCCATAGTGACCTTTGCAACAAGTTCTCTCAGTTTCACATCTCTACAACTCATTTCCTCTTAAATCCATCCATTTCTCTCTCTCCTTACTGCCACTAACATGATCCAGACCATCATGGGTTCTTAGATGGAAATTTGCTGCTGGTGCCCAAATGGTTCCCTCACGCCTAGTTTCATGACTTTTCAGTTCTTCATAAATTGATTTTCATTGTCCTTCACTGTCCCCTGAGCAGCTTCATGTGTTTGTCTTTTTTCACATTCTGTTTTAGAGCCTTGTAGACCTTGGATGCCCTTAACCTACTGTGCATTTTATTTGCATCTGGTTTTGTGTGAATTTTTTTCTCTACTGCCTGCTTCCTGGCTTTGTCTCACACAACACACTGTGCTTTAATCTTCTGGGGCTTTTGTTGTTGTTTTTTTATTTTTTTAACCCACTCATCCTCATAGTCATCATCTATGACTGAGTTTAGATTTTGGTTTGGTCAAATGTCCTGTATATACATTTATAGTCCTTCCTCCTAGTTTCACTTAATACTTAATATTATTCATATTTCTTTATTAAGCTGTGAGCAGGTTATATGATCCTAGGTACTATATTTGTGATGATTGAAACCTTTGCATCTTCAACCATTCGGGATATCTGGCTCTAAGCTTGGCATAACTACACTGAAGCACTTAGATCTCTTATTTCTTTTTAAAGAATCTGTATTTCCCCTTTTTAATTGTTGTTTTTGATGATGCTGGGCCATTTGTGTTCTTACACTCTACCCAGAGTTACAATATCTGCCCAGCTCTTCGATTCTTCATTATTATAACTGAATGGATTTTTAAAAATTCCTTAGCGACTAACATTTAATAGGCATGTGCCCTGGAATAAATAACTGAAAATATATTTTCTTCTTGCCTTCATACCATAAGCCATCTTTTTTTTTTTTTTTTTTTTTGTGGTATGGGGGATTATATTCAGGACCTTGTGCTTGTGAGGGGCACAACTCCACTGAACTAAATCCCCTGCCCAACATAAGCCACCTTTGATTTGTACTATACCATCAAGGCTGTTGGATGTGGAAGAGTTTCTCTATGCAATAGCCTCTAACAGTTATGCCTCCAGAGGAATGAAGGTAACAGTGTATTTTGAGTATTGTCCAACAGATTTGTCCTTGATACTTTCTTGAAACTAATAAAAATTATTTCTCTAAATTATATATCACCTGTCACCAAATAAGTGTTTTTATTCATCATAGTAATTTTTTCCCCATTTGTTTAGTAACTAAGTTTCTTTTACTGTATATAGCTCCTCTAATAATCTTAGGGAACATAAAGATGCTTTGTACAGTATCAACAAAATTGTTCAAGACTTCCAAATAGTGTATTTATCTTCATCTTGAGTGATAGTATTGGTATAAACCTAGAATGTGATGATCTGATTCATCATCCTATGGAGAGTACCTTAAAAAAGTGATTTATTTTCACGTATGGTTTTTAGAAAGAGAGATGATGGAATAAATTCATTGCCATTAATTCTATTTATCTGTGTATTCATTTATTTTGAGACAGTCTCACTATGTAGGCCAGGCCAGCCTTGAACTCACTGTGTAGCCCAGGCTGGCCTGAAACTCATGAACCTCCTGCCTCAGCCTCCCAAGTGCTGGAATCAAAGCCCTGCACCATCATGCCTAGGCTGACCTTTAATAATTAAGAAAGAGCTGGGTGTGGTGGTGCACGCCCCTAATCCCAGCAGGAGGATGGTGAGTTTGAGACCAGCCTAGGCTACATAGTGAGTTCCAGGTCACTCTCAACTATGTAATGAGACCCTGTCTGAAAAACCAAAATAATAATAATAATAACAACAACAACAATAACAATAATAATAATGTAAGATTTTGTAGTTTGTGCTATTTGAGGAAAGGGTCACACTATTTCAACATGTGTTTTAATACCATTACAATGAGAAAACATTTTTTGAATAATGATAGGCCCAATTTGCTATAGATTGATAATTTCATTTTTCTTTTTCTTTAGTCCTAAAATACATTAACTTTAAAGTATGTTTATTGCCACCCAGTTCAAGGTGTAGAATTTTCCTAGTACCCAGAAAAGTCATCCCCGTGTGCCTTTCCAGTCTATCAGTCATCTTCTTCTACTTAGGGACATTGAGATACATGTGTGTTGTTTGTGTTTCATTTTTCATTGTTACCATAGGTATATCAAGTACAGTTGGAGTTGTTTGGTTTGGGCTGGCATGAAAAACCTACAGAAAATATGTCTTTTGGCTGACATGTAGTGATTTTTTAATTATTTTTTAGGCACAGAATTTACATAGAATGCTTTGATAACATGTAGCTTTATACAGTGCTGCCTATCTCCTAGTGGAATACATTGAATGCCCGTTATTTCTCCACAAGGAAAAAGGAAAACAGTGACCTCAATATTCTAAGTAGTGCTGGGTGTTGGTGGCATATGCCTGTAATCCCAGCCCTTGGTAGGCTGAGGCAGGAGGATTACTACAAGTTCAAAGCCATCCTGAACTGGATAGATAGTGAGATCCTATCTCAAACAAAATTCTAAATTGGAAGTTTAGCACAAAAACTATATTATAGTATACTTGTTTTAGAATGTGGGCTTAAGGGATCAGAGCTCAAGTTCGTACTTCTGAAGTAATTTCCTAGTTTTGTTGAAATGTGCAATGAAACAATTTTTCAAGTTGGACTGGTTAATAAGGTTAAATATATAGGCAGGGAATAGATTACTGATAACCATTAGTAATTAAACTTGTAAACATTTCTGCATTATAAATACAAACAGACCGAAGGGAGGAAAGAAGAATTGGAGGATGCCTGAAGCAGTCTGTGAGCACGTTAGGTCACTGTGTGTCCTTGGCTTTTACTCCATTTATTGAGCAGAGGATTACTCTTGACAGACAGCTGGTGTTTGAAACAAAACTAAAAACAGATCAGGTAGATGATTGTAGCAGTCCAGGCTAGGAGATGGTGGTGGCTTGGGTCAGAGTGGAGGCAGAGGACATGATGAGAAATGGTTGGATTTTGGGTATATTTTCAAGTTGAAATCAGGTTAAATATAAAAAGGAATGAGTCAGGGATGATTACAAGATTATTTTGGCTTTTGTGCTCATGTTAATTCAGATGACTATAAAGGTTATGTTAATTTCTATAATAATATTTTAGCAAATATTTATAGTAAAGATGTTGATCACATTGTCATAACATTTCCAGTCCAAATGTCCAACAGTAGAAGATGAAATCCAATATACCCATTAAAATGGTTTTTATGCGCAAGGGCCAGAGTTCCAAACTCCAACAATGCAAAAAATAATGGGGTGGGGTTGTGAACTGTTCTAATGATACTACAAATGCCTATAAAAATGTTAGTGGAAAAACTAAGGTATAACATTATATGTTTTATTTTAAATGATGATACATTTACAAAATGAAGAAAGCCCAGATTCATATGAATATTAAGTGGTTGTTCCTCCTGACTGACTTATAATTACAGGCAATTTTTTATTTCCTTCTTTATATATGTGTATATAATTGGTACTGTATATTGAGAGAAAACTTTAAAAGAAGGTATTTTTATCAGTAGAACAAAATTGCAATATCATGGAGATTTACTCACAGTGCTAAATAAGCATAAGGCCTCATTTAGCATTTGGCATTCTTTTGAAACTGTTTATTCACGTGTTTTCAAATCATTGTTTTCCATAAACACTTTTAAAGTAAGGTATTAGCTTCAAATGCAAGGGGATTAAATGTATTTACCACTTGCTCAGCATGTAAGCATTCAGTAGAAGCCACTTTCTTTACCTGAGAGCTGCCAGACCATTTAATATGTGCGTTTGTATTCACTTCATTATGTATGTTCAGTGTGTATTTCAAGTCATGTTGGCATAATAATTTTTTGGGGGGGTTACCAGGGATCGAACTCAGGACCTTGGGCTTGTGAGGCAGGCGGCAGCACCACTGAGCTAAATCCCTGGCCCTGGCATAATAATTTTTTGACACAAGTGATGCCTGCAAGTCTTTGTCAAGGCAGTGAGCTTATTAATGATAGATCACTTGTTTTCTTGAAAGTGCCTATTCTCAAGGATGGGACATCGCTTTTTCCTCTCTGTTATAAGCTAAGCTAAGATAGAGACCATCGCTTGGTAACTGCCTGGGCCTTGCTCCCACCAGGCCTAGTGGGCCATGCCAGGTTTGGCAGCCTCTGAGAGTAGAGTCAGCTGTAACCAGGTGTTAGGGTTTATGATGACAGAGGAGTATTAGAGACAGTCATTGTGTAAGAAGTACACTTCTCTGGGAAGCAGAGCATCTAGTTTGGGGTCATGTGGTTTTTCTGTTTTGATTGTCATGAGATCCACATGACACATTCACCATTTTAATTATTCTGTGTGTTGCTACCAAATTCCAGAGTGTTTTTTATCATTCATTCTTCAGCCATTTCCTTTTTTTCTTCTCAGACCCTAGCAACCACTCTTGTTTTCTGTCTCTATGGATATGCCTATCATAAACATTCATATAAAAGGAATTATAATATGTCCTTTTTTGTGACTGTCTTTTCACTGAATGTTTTTGAGGTTTAACCATGTTACCGTATGAATCAGCACTTCATTCCTTTTTATTGCTGAGTATTGTTTATGTGGATGGATGTTGGCACATTTTTGGAAAGTATGTGTTACACAAACTTAGACTATGTGTACAAGTGTGTATTGAATGCCTGTTTTTAATTCTCTTGAGTATATGTATATCTAGGAAGATAGTTGCCAGGTCATATGTTAATGCTGTTTTTTACTTTTTGTTGAATTACCAAATGTACTAATTATTTTTAGATCTTAAATATCTCTGAATACTAAGGTTTGCTCACTTAAAAAAGTGACATGCTTTTCTGCAGGCCAGGCATTTGCTGGATACAGGAGATTATTTCATGGAGCTTGTTGTTTAGAGTTAAGCAGGCAGCAAACTAACAAGCAAGTGATTATGCAGACAGCTGTAATTAAAACTGCGGTAAATTCTGGGAAGGAGATGTTTCAGGTTGCTGTGAGAACTGAGCGGGAGCTAGAAAGATGTGGGAAATTGTTAGGAAATGTTTCCTTGAGTATATTTTAGCTTGAAATAATGTAATCGTAATCATGTAGCATTTGATATTTATTGAGTGTTTACTATTTGCCAGACACTGTTCTATTTGCATAACTCTTTATTTCTGCCACTTTGCAGACTAGTAACCCGAGGAACAGAGCATTAGGCTCAATTCATTGCTAATAAGTTGTGAAGACTATATTCAGATCTAGCTTGTTCACCTCAGAGACCCTTGTAACCTTGTCCTCTTTCATTTCTAAGGGAGGCAGTTGCACTAAACACTTCCAAGGAAGGGGAGTCCTTATTTTATCAGGAGTTACAAGAACAAAGACTACAGGAGTACACTGAACATGGCATAGGATAGGTGGGGATGCAGAATGTGAAAGTAGATTGGGGAGACAAAGCTCAAGGATGAGATGAAGCTAGGTCACACACAAGTGTCTTGCTCGTTAAAATAAGATCCTTCTAGGGTTGAGCTGTACATATTCAGTCTAGTTTTGGGGACGTTTCTTGGTTATTTCCCTCACCCATGCTCTCCCATCATTTTTTAAAAATATATATTGAGAAATGTTTATGACAAACGTAAAAAAATTTAACCTTCAGGATTCTTCACTTTTGTGGGCTCCTATGGTGAGTTAGACAAATTGTTGTGAATTATAGTGTTGAGTGTGGACAAAAGCAACCAGGTTAAGGTCAGCACTTCCATTAAATTTCTAAGAGTTCTTAAATAAAAAGGCTCTCAAAATTACATGCTTTGGGTATTACAAAACCTGGATCTGTCCCTGGCCTTCCTTCCCCTCCCCTCCCCTCATTCCCTTTCCCTCCCTCCTTTTCTTCTTTCTTCCTTCCTTTTGTACTGGGGAACAAACTCAGTACCTTGTGCTTTCAAGGCAGGCACAGTGCCACTGAGCTACAGCCCCGGCCCAGTATATTGTCATATCTTTCTCGTTTCCATGCTGATTTTGTATGGAGGCTAAAGGACAATGGTCAAGAATTGCTATTTTAAGGAGTGTCAGAGTCAGAAGACTGAAGGCAGTCTACACTTCACAGTGGTTGCTAAGTTTTTAGACTGTCACTTAAACTGGTTAAAAATAGAATATTTAGAATAGAAGAAACAGGAAAATGTCTACCAAAAATAAAATGACAGATACTTGGAAATTGTTGTTTAGGCTAGTAGTTAGCTTTGTTGATAGCCTGTGTGTGCTTCACTATTTTCAACACAGGTTAGTTTTGCCGTGCTTTTATCTGTCTTTGAAGACAGGATCTCACTGTGTAACCCAGGCCAGCCTCAGACGTACTATTCTACTTCCTCAGTGTCCCAAGTGTTGGGATTCAGGCACGTGCTACCATGCCCCACTAATTTAGGGCAGTTTTTACAGACATACAACATTAACAACTTTTGAAAATATCTTTTATCAATGTGAGAAAATACTCTTGATTGAAAACTTCTAATAAAATATTTTTATTTTTTTATTTCAGGCGTTTGATCACAGATTCAAAAGTTAAATTAAAGTATCAACATTTAATAACAAATAGCTTTGTAGAGGTAAGTGATTTAAATTTTCCCTTCTTCTAACAAAAGGAATTCTAGTCATACAGATACTTTTTTGGGGGGGTACTGGGGATCAAACTCAGGTCCTGTGCTTGTGAGGCAGGTGGCGGAACCCCTGAGCTAAATCCCTGGCCCTATACAAATACTTTTAAAAACTTGCAAGGGCCAGGAATTTAGCTCAGGGGTTCCTCCGCCTGCCTTGCAAGTCAAGGTCACCAGTTTGATCTCCAGTACCAAAACAAAAACAAACAAACAAAAATTTGAAACCTTTTGGCAATAAAATGTGTCTACCTTTTTTTTCTGTCACCTGCCCGCTGGGTAAGACCCGCAGCCCTTGTGGAGTTCTCCTGACATACAATCACACTCTGCTTTTTTTGCAGTACTGGTAATTAAACCCAGGGCATTCACACGGAGCTACATTGCCAGCCCCCACTTTTTCCTTTTTTTTTTTTTTTTTTTTTTTTTAACTGTGCCTGAGATCAAACTCAGAACCTTGAGCTTGCAAGGCAGGTGACAGCACCACTGAAGTAAACCCCTGGCCCTGTGTGTGCCATTTTTATGAAGCATACCATACATACTTTCATTCTGAAAGGAATTTGAGAAACCAGTTAGTTTGATCTGTCATAAATCTTGAACTTCATTAATAAAAAAAATACACACACACACACCCCACCCCCATGCACACACTTTTTGAGACTGGGTTGCTATTTCATTCAGGCTGACCTTGAACTCACTATGTAGCACAGGCTGGCCCCGGAACTCACTGTTGATCCTCCTGCCTCAGCCTCTTGAGTATTGAGATCATAGGCATGTGCCACCACATCCGGCAGTAAAATTACTTTTTTTCCTTAGTTTTTTCTTTTAATTACTTTTTATAGTATTCTTCCTTTATCCCTAGTAAAGAATAGTAGTAGATTATTAATTATGTCCATATCTTGTCAGTCTTGTTTTGGACTCTAACCGCACCATTTTTTCCAGTTACTTCCAATTCCATTACCAATAAATTGTGTTAATGAAGAGCAATAAAGGCTGGGCATTTGGTTCTGCCACCTGCCTCGCAAGCGCAAGGGCCTGAGTTCAATCTCTGGTACTAAAAAAAAAAGAACAATAAAAAGTGCTGTAGTATATCATAGCTGAGGTTGGCAAATTACAGCCTGCCTGTATTTTTTTGTTTTGTTTTTTGTTGTTGTTTTTGGGGGGTGGTTTAGACAGGGTCTCCAATACACACACATACATACATACATACATACATACATACATACACTGGCCCTGACCTCACTGTGTAGCCCAAGCTATCCTTGAACTCACAGAGATCCTCCTGCCTCAGCTTGCTGAGTATTGGGATTACAGGTCTGCACCACCATGCCTGGTTTAGCTTGCCTGTTTTTTGTAAATAATTACTTATAAGAACATGCCCCAGTACCCATGTTTATAGTGGCACAGTTTGTAATAGCTAAATCTTGGAAACAGTCTAAATGCCCATGAATTGATGAATGGATAAAGAAGATATTTTATTAGATACAGAGTACCACTCATCCCATAAAGAAAGATAAATATGCTGGGGCAGAAATTTTCTTGCTGCTTAGGAAAACTGCCCTGAAATAGAGCCATAAATTGCTGTTTGCTAATGAACACGTAATGAATAATTTAAAATTTTCCAGTGGTGTTTTAAAAATGGGACAAGAAATAAATTTTTGGTACCAGGGATTGGACTCAGGACCTTGCACTTGCGAGGCAGGCAGTGGCACCACTGAGCTAAATCCCCAGCCCTTTTTCATAAATTTTATATAACCAGGTCTTAACCAGTGTGGTAGTACTTACCTATAATCCAACACTTGGAAAACAGGCGGAAGGATCACCTCAGGTTAGAGGCTAGCCTCAATTACATAGTGAGGCTATCTTAAAAAAAATCATAATGAAAACATGAAACTAGGTCTTCAAAGCAGCACTAATCTTGGGAAAGCAATGGTATCCAAAGCATTGCCATGCAAGACCACATCAGGATTTTATGTGTTTTTGTCATCATCTGTCCTCTACCCTTTGCTCCAGGTGTGTTGGGAAATCTTGGGTGATGATATAATTTGCTATCATAATTTCATTCTGTGTTTCAGTGCAATCGACTGTTAAAGTGGTGTCCTGCCCCTGATTGTCACCATGTTGTTAAAGTCCAATATCCCGATGCTAAACCTGTTCGCTGCAAATGTGGGCGCCAATTTTGGTAAGCTAGTGATTTCCTAAATGGTGTGATGCATGTTGCTTCTTCTTTTTTTTTTTGGTAGTAAAGATGGAAAAAACAATTGTTCAATGACAAAAGATGAAGTTTGTTTAAAATAGTACATATTTCTTTTAAGTAAGAGTTGGATGAAAAAGTTTAGTCTTAAGTAATTTTTTTCCTTTCTTGGTGGTTTATTTAAAAATGCAGCTGTAGTCCTCTGAGACAATGAAGGCAGTAGGATCACACATTCTGGGTCAACCTGGGCAACTTAGCAAAAACCTTGTCTTAATATTAAAAAACAAAACAAAACAAAAAAACAGTCCTGGGAATGTTGCTCAGTTTGATTATTTTTTTAAAACTAGGTTCAATTCCTAGTTTTAAAAATAGAAAAAGAAAAGGAGATAGTATAATCACATTTTTTAATACTCCATAGTAACTTATATGGTACCAAACTTAAAAATTTCAGAAAAGAATTTCTTTTCATTTGGATTATTTGTCAATTTATGTTTGGTTGCATATGGCTCTTTCTCTACTTGAAAATGATTTATTTCCTATTCAGGTTAAGAATTAAGAGTATACAGGTTTTTTACAGAAATTTGATGACTCTTTAGAGATTATTCTTTTGGGGTTTTAGGTTTTTTTTTTTAATCTAACTCAGGGCCCTGTGCTTGCCTGGTAGGCACTGTGCCACTGAGCTACATTCCCTGCCCCTATTCTTTAGTTTTATACCTTGCTCATACCATTTCTTTTATTTGCTTGAGACAGTGTCTCACCCTGTAGCTCAGGCTGGCTCAAACTCACTGTGTAGCCCAAGCTGACCTACAACTCATGGAGATCCTCCTGCCTCGGCCTCCCTAGTTCTGGGATCACAGTTGTATGCTACCATGCCTGGCTCATGCCATTTCTTTCTATAGAGCAGGTTATTCTGTTTAAATTATGCAAAGATGTGCCTATTGCTTCCATATATTGTCTTATTGTGCATTAGTACCATATTACATAATTAATCTACAAAGTGAGACTTTTACTCTTCTGTTGGGGTGCTAAGTAAAAGATTTATGCACTGAAGAGGTATAAATTGTATTTGTTGAAATTTTTCATACAGTTAGACCCCCCCTTGCAGCCAGTATTATCAAATTGTCATGAAGGCATATCTTTATGCTTATAGCCCCTCTTCATTTCACATGCATTGAGTCCATACTATATGCTACTTGTAATAACACGCTGAATTGTAAGTAATTTGTAGTACAATAAGACAGACATGCTCCTTGTGTGTTTGCCAGTCACTGGAAACTGGTAACAGTACTGGGGAACCATAAAGCATGCATGGTCAGTTGCTTTACTTAGAGCAGGTAGGACTTAATTGTTTCAATTCTTTGTGTCCCTTAACAGCTTTAACTGTGGAGAAAATTGGCATGACCCTGTTAAATGTAAGGTGAGTTAGGTATTTTTGTTCTTAAGTAATGTGATAGTCCATTTCTAAGACTTGGCGTGAAAATAACAGCTGACAACTTTGTAATCTTTCTGTTAGTAAATAGAAGATTTCATTTTGCCCTTTTTGTTTCAAGTGATCGTTGCAGTGTTTAGGGAGCATTCCTTAGGATAAATCAAGCCAGCTTCTGGTTACTAGTAGAATGGCCATAGTTAGGGCACCAGGTGTCTTGGGGCAAGCTTTGTTAGTAGGGGAAAAACACGCCTTGTAGCTCAGCTTCTTTTCAACTTCACAGCTCCCAACTCAGCTTCAGCCAGAGAAAATCCTCCTTTTGCTGATTTTATGTGTGCTGGATACTACCGTTAGATTTCCCTTGTTCAGGAGGAAGTGCATTATATTTAAGCTTGACTGTAACCAAGTGTTGAAATAATTTGCTATCCTTTTAAAGCCTTTTGTTAAACTAACAGTTGTTGTTGTCAAACAGTGGTTAAAGAAGTGGATTAAAAAGTGTGATGACGACAGCGAAACCTCCAATTGGATTGCAGCCAACACAAAGGTTGGTATTTTTCTTTAGTAATTCTTTGTAATGAAACTGGTAAAGTTATGTATCAGCCTTGGCAAAATAATGTTTACTAAGTTATGGGCCTTCTGATACTTACGTTTTCTTTGTTCCTTTTCTCATTCTACCCCAGGATAATTGCTTATTCATAATTTTCCTTTATGTTAGTATTTGAATTTATTTAAAAATATTGAATACTGTACTATAGTATACAGAGTACTGTGCTTTAGTTTCTTATATTGTAAAAACATGTTTCCTATTTAGAAAAACAGATAGTTTTTCTAGTCTGGTTTTTTGGTTGCCTTAGTATTTAAATGTGAGGTATACCCCACCTATCTTCTGTTAAGCTAATTTACATTTTGCCTTACATCCTCCGAGTTTTAGCTTTGAGTAGAATAATTGGGCAACTATGCAGTTTTTATTGTTCTCCAAGTGTACTTTGCATTAAACTTCTAAAATATGGCTTATTAAGAGATGTGACTCATAGACATTTTGGAGTAATATGTTCATCTCATGGTTTTTCTGGTTTTAATTTTTTGTTTTGAAGTACATTGCTCATGATACTAAAATTCATTCTGTATGATCATGAAACTTCCTTATTTCCAGATGAGTCTTACAATGGAAATAATTTTGAGCATAATTTTTCTCTAAGAGACAGTACACAGTTAGTTTCTTAATAGAAAATTGTATAAATATCAATCCTAAGCTGGGCATGGTGGCGCATGCCTGTAATCCCAGTACTTGGGAGGCTGAGGCAGGAGGATCACTGTGAGTTCGAGACCAACCTGGGCTACATAGTGAGTTCCAGGTCATTCTCAACTGCATAGTGAGACCTGTCTCAACCAAAAAAAAAAAAGAAAGAAAAAAAAATCCATCCTGTATTTAATTTTATCTCATGCTCATAGTAAGCAACGTGAATAATGAATGGGAAGGTGATTTATGAACTATTAATTTTTAGTGCTGTCTTTCACATGTGATGCTAAAAAATGCTGAGGTTTTTGTGGCTTTTGTTTTTTGTTTTTCTAGCATTCATTATAGTTTTATTCTGTACTTCAGCAATGACCAACATGATTTTAAGTACATGTCTTATGTACTTGTAAGTGTGTAAGACATAAATATATATTTTTCTTTCTTAGAAAGTATCAGCAGTGAAATAGTCCTATACATAAAACCAATACCTAAATTTAAGAAATATGATAGAAATTAATATTTTTGTGTTTTCTCTAATCATGTAAAGCATGACAGACATCACTCAAGAAAACATCACTCAGTATACTGTGATGTCAGGAAGTAGTTGCTTCTGTTGCTATTTTATAGGAATTTCCTAGCCAAACATTCTTTTTTGACTGAAGAATTCTCTCCTGAAATGTTCATTAATGCTTTAGGAAATTTAAATATAGTATTTTGAAAAGGGCAGTTATATTATCACTAAGTCGTTTGATTAGAATTCAAAGTTCTTTGTACATTTATAAAAATACCCTAAGCCCCTAAGTAGTTTAAGTGGGAGAATGGATATGTTTGCCTTTGTTTAGAAGATAGGTTAGCCAAGAATGGCAGTTCATAATAAATTTAGTTACTTGGTAGTTTTGAAGTTTTTCTCTTGAGAGTTCTTAGAACTTATCATTGTCATTAGCTTCTTAAGTAGATTTTTACAGGTGGTTGGTGATCTCCTAGCATTAATAACTTGATTAATTATAACCAAGAAATGTAGAATGAATCTGATTTTATGTCTGAAATTTGCTTCTTTATAAACATGTAAAATTCATGAGTGATTTTTAAAATGTAGTGATCAGATACAATAAGTGATCAATAAGTGATCATAACTATTTAAAGTTACTATAGATTGTCTCAGTGCATTCTGTGCAAATAATAGAAACCCCTTTGTGGGTTTACAGACATCAAACTAATACTGCAAATATAGCAGAAAATACAGGCTTTATCTTTTAAGATTTTAATAAAATTAGTAAGGTTTATTTTACTAGATTTTTTTTCAGAAGCAAAAAGAGTCTGCAGGGTAGAAGCTTTGGCTAAATAGCCACTGAGAAAATGATGGACTTGTAAAAACTAATACCTCTGTAGCATAGTTATTAAGGGACCGAAATGAAAAGAATTTAAATCATAGATATTTGGCTGAAGAAGTTGAGAAAATTATTATGAATTTGTTAATCATGGCCTGATTTTCTGCTTCCTTCATTCTTTGTGCCAGATAGCTTGGTATAGATCCTTTCCCTACCAATTCTGCCAGTATGATGTAAAACTAGTTTTTTTAAAAAATTTTGGTTTCTTATAGTTTTCATCTAAGAAATGGAAATTAGAATGGCACCATCATAACCTTTTTGAATTGATGCATATGAGGCACTGAGAATAGTGCATGGGTTGTCAGAAGTACTCTTAATGCTTGATGACACTAGAATGTATTTACATGAGCAAATGTTTTATTTTCCATAAAACTATTACTCTCTACATGATAAAAGTATTTAAAATGGAGTTGTCTCTCACCACTTAATTTGAAAAAGCCTTAAATTATATATCCTAAATACCATTAATCATGCTAATGGTTCATTTTTAATAACATTAAGTGTTTGACATTGTTCTAAATGCTTTACATGTATTCATTGCAATAAATAAATAAGCCATATCTAGAGTTGGTTTCTCCTTAATGGTGGTAATACAACCTAGTGTAGCATTGACACCAACTTTATAGTTTCTCTTCATAGGAATGTCCCAAATGCCATGTCACAATTGAGAAGGATGGCGGTTGTAATCACATGGTCTGTCGTAACCAGAACTGTAAAGCAGAGTTTTGCTGGGTGTGTCTTGGCCCTTGGGAACCACATGGATCTGCCTGGTAGGTTGGGAGAACGGAAGAATGTTCACATAAGATGTGATATGCACCACGTTATGAGTGATAATGCTATTTCTATAACATTACTGTCCAACTGGGGAGATAATAGAAATATTTACTGTGTGCTTAGGGTTAGAAGTATACACAGAATATCCAGAGAGGGATTAGTTAGGCCTATTTTATAGAAGAGGGAATGAGGAAACAATTGAGATGAACTTTTAAAAGGACTAAGTTCACTAGGTGAAAAAGTAGTATGGACACACATTGAAGGCAAAACGAGCAGCTTGAGCATATGTGGAAGAATGTGAAAAGTAGGGACTTTTTCAGAGTTATATTGTCTGTTATGTCTGTAGCAAAGGTTGTAAACTGAGAGGCTAATGGCAAAATCCAAACTGTAGGTGTGTTTTCATATCTCAGTAAGTATATTATTAGACAGAAAGTTTTGTCCTAAACTTTAAAAATTGGGAAACTGCCCAATAAAAGTCCATCTTTTTAGCTTCTTTTAGAAAAAGGCCTCATTCTTATTTGACAACAGTTACCTACAACTGATGGGCCTTTTTTTCAGGGTGATATTTCCTTCAAAACTGAAGGCAAATATCAGTTCTATATATATTTGTCCTTTGGCTCCCTTGGAATAAATTCCAGGGCCCCTTGCAGATAGGGCCCTATGCAGATACCAGAATTGGTGGATGTTTAAGTATCTTATGTACAATGGTGTAATAGTTGCATGTAAACTACACCCATCCTCCCATGTGTTTAAAATCATCTCTAGCTGTTACACCCATTTGTTTGGGGAATAACGAGAAGAAAAAAGCCTGTATGTGGAAAGAACAGATGCACACACGTATGCACACACTTATAAATTTTAGATCCATGATTGCTTGAATCTGTGAAAGTGTAACAGATAAAGAGGGCTGACTCTGTGCCCTGTCACCTTTTCTTTTTTCATTTAGTAATAAGACATCTTTATTTTCCCCATGCACATTGCATTTCCTGTTTAGGAAAATGCAAGTTAGACTGAGCGTGTTTTGAGTTTTGAGAAAAATGGGAGCACATTTCCTGATAAAAAGTGAGAATACTGGGCTGGGGGTTTGGCTCAGTGGCACCGCACCTGTCTTGCAAGCGCAACAAGGTCCTCAGTTTGATCCCCGGTACCAAAAGAAAAAAAAAATTGAGAATGCCTTTGACTATTACAACATGCAGCTTGCCCAGTATACTAATTCATATTACCTGCCTGTCTCCTGTTGCCATTTGAATGTGGGTCCTCTAATAAATTTTTGGGAAAAGGAAAAGAGGAACTAGACAAGAGCCTAAAATAGTTTAGATATTATCTTAAGGTTTTTAAGTGGGACTAAAATGCTTAGAGCCATTATTTAACTGATAATATTCTATATTGTGTGCTTTACATACATTTTCTCATAACTTTGGTTCGTTTTCTCATAACTTTCTACTGAGAAAATGAAAGGGATTAGATTCCAGGTTAAAAGGAGTTAGATTCCAAGTGAACTTGAGAACTTGAGACAATAACAAGTCTTTTCGTTTCATTGGAACTTTCATTCGTTGTATTGATTACAGGAATAGTAGTAGGGGTACTTCTGTGAAATTAATTCTAAGCCAGGTAAAGACTGTTCGGAAGTCAAGAAATCATGCCATTGTGAGAACCAAGGAGAAAGGGTATTTGAGATTTAGCGACATAGTTCTGTAGCTTTAAGACAAACTGCAGCAGTGGTGGTGATGAACCTTTGGCATATGTAACGCAGCAGGCTATTTTTTGTATCATTAAAACTCTTAAAAGATTCATCATCCCTGAACTCTAGAGGATTAGAGTATTTAGAAACTAAACTTAGTCTATGCTTTTATAAGCAAGCCTAGTGCAGGAGAGGGAGAAAAGGTGGAGAAGAAGGGAAGAGTTAGACATTTATATGTTTGTGTAATGACATCTCTGATCACAGCTACATTTTTAATTAAGTTGCACTGAAATCTGAACAGGGAACAAAAGATGAATATAGAAGAATGAATAATGTCCTGGACCAGGCTACCGTGTCCAAAATGCTGCTTGTGTCTTGTCTTTATACATGCTAAGATCTCAAGTGAATCATGATGTTTTCCTTACTATATCTTAAAATATTATACTTCAGGCTAGGTGTCTGGGGCATGCCTGTTTTTCCTGCTACTGGGGAAGCCAAGGCAGAGAGGGATCACAAGTTCAAGAAAGGCAGTTTATTACAAGTCAGTCAAGGCTGATGTTTAGCTCACTAGTAAACCACTTCCCTAGTATATGTGAGGCCCACTACTACACCCTCAAATTATAATAAATAAAATGCCTCAGAATTGTCGTAGTAGCATTCTTTTTAGTTTTTTGAGGCAGGGTCTCACTTTATAGTGAGTTTAGGCTGGCCCTGAACCCAATGTAGCTCAGGCTGGCCTCAAACTTGCGGCAATCCTCCTGCCTCTGCCTCCCAAGTGCTGGGGGATTACAGGCGTGGGCTGCCATGCCCGGCTAAAGTAGCATTCTAAGTAGCACTTGTCTGTTATTTGAGGTAGAGGTGCAAGTGAATCTACATATTTGTTTTCCTAGTCTTAAAACACTCGATAATGCTGACAGGGTAAAGCCCGGATTGGGGTGAGCGTAGGAAATAGTGATAGAAAAGAGCTGTTTGTCAGCACAGGTCACATGGAGTTGTTTTTGGATTAGGTTTAACAGCATATTTCCAGAGAGAATTACAGTCTCAGGGGGGTATTAATATTAAATGTGCTGATCCACTTGGAAAAACTTTAAGATGACATCAGTTGTTGGTTATTTCTATGTAATGATGGAAAGGAAAGAAGTTCCAAAGACTGGAAGCAGATAAAATGTAATCCTGCAAAATTTGTGATTTGATTCCATACACTCGCCTGAACCATAGAATGTAATTTTTCTCTCCTGTGAAGTCTCAGAATCAATGAATGGCATTTGTAGGAGGATGGACTGTCGGGTGTTCTATAGATGTCAGCAAGGTATTTCATTGTGGACTGAGATGTATTGGGCCTTGGCAATGAGTATAGGCAAGGATATTTAGGGTTGACTGACCATTTATTGGAGTATATATACTTGATTTGTGTAATTAAATTGAAAAGTCTTCTTTTGGGGGGAATTATAGGGTTTAATCCAAATAAAATGTATTTAGCCATAAAAGTATGGCTGCTAACAGATTCTGAAGACATAGCAACAGCACACACACCTCAGGTGGTGACAGGCGTAAGCTTCATTTGCAGGGATATAGTATATGTTTTAGAAGGCATTTGAGGAGGTTACTGAACATGTGACAATACAGTGTGTTTAAAGTCCTTAGCAAGTGTGTGGTATGTGGTAAGCACTTAATAAATAACTGCTCCCAGAGTTTAGGTTCCCATAAAAGAGATACAAGCAGAACAAAGGAAGTGTCAGTCTTAGTCATCTCCTCTCTGAGCTGACTTCTCTGGGGATGCTTCCTCCCTCCTTCCCATTCTGATTGTCATTTACCTTTCATTGACAGATTACAATAGTATATAAAACAAATAGCATGAGTGCTATTACTGAGTAGGCTGTCAGCTCTTCGTTCTATTTGTCATATAAAGGAGCAGATAAGGTGAGTAGCTGGACAGTTGAGAATACTGGGCTTGATTATCAGATGGCCTAGGATTTAAGGTGATCTCTTTCTTCAAAAACTGAGTTAGGGCTGGGGATTTAGCTCAGTGGTTCCACCACCTGCCTTGCAAGTGCAGGGACCTGAGTTCAATCCCCGGTAGTTTAAAAAGAAAAATAAAACAAAAAACTAAGTTAGTGGCATACATGTGTAATCCCATTCATTACTCAGGAGGCTGAGGTAGAAGGTTCACTGCAAGTTCTAGACCAGCCTGGGCTACATAGTTCAAGACCTGCTTGGAATACATATCAAGAGTGTGGCATACATGTGTAATCCCATTCATTACTCAGGAGGCTGAGGTAGAAGGTTCACTGCAAGTTGTAGCCCACTAGACCAGCCTGGGCTACATAGTTCAAGACCTGCTTGGAATACATATCAAGACCCTTTCTCAAAAAAACAAAACAATTCAATTAGGGCACTATAGGATGTCATAGAAGTTCTGGAATGATACTGTTTTCTGATGATTATAGGTGAGCTGATTTGGAATACACTGGGCCATTCACTAATAACAGATTAAAAAAGGACTTATCCAGGGCTAGGGATTTGGCTCAGTGGTTCCACTGCCTGCCTTGCAAGCGCAAGGGCCCAAGTTCGATCCCCATTACCACCAAAAAAAGAGGGACTTATCCAATCTTCTGAAGAGAATTTTTATCTGTTGTTAAAGGGAATGTTGGTTCTGGATATTTAAATCCCGGTTAAAATCCTGTGCCATGTTCTCTTTTCATCATTTTATGGCTTTATGGAATCTGAATTTACTTGCAGGTACAACTGTAACCGTTACAATGAAGATGATGCCAAGGCAGCAAGAGACGCACAGGAGGTGAGCACGTGTGTGCAGGGCCACAGCACATTGGATTGCGGGGTGTGCGTTCTTAGGGAATGGGTGAGCTGATGGCAGCTCTGCAACAGTTATAGGAGGACACCAAGCAACTACTGGGCATCTTTATACACTTAGAAAATGTTATCCAAAATGCTCATCAGCAACATTTTTGTTTGTTTTTCTTTTAATTAATTTGAGTCACGTTACATAAACTGAGTTAAATAATATCTTAGTATTGCCACACCCACCCCCTGTCCAGCCAAAAAACAAAGAGAAGCCATTTTTAAATGGCCCCTCTGCTATTTATACACAATATATCATTTGTTTTTAATTTGCTTGTACCTCGTTGTTCAAAGAAGTTGTAATGATTATAAGTGAGCTGATTTGGAATGGATTATCTGGAAATTTTCTTTTTCTTGAATATAGTAAAGACCTCATAGAAGGGTTTCAAATATCTTACGTGGATACAATTTTACAACATTCGAGAATTAGTCTGGTAATTTTGTCATAATTGTAGAACCCTAGAATTTAATAATTGTTACACTTAACTGTTCATTATTATTCCCTTTATCTCTAAAAATGCTGTTTTCAAATGGTTTTCCTAGCAAGGATACAATCTAAAGCATGGTTTGCATATGTATAAACATAAAACTAGCTATAAACTACTATCCTTTTAAGCAACCATGCAGCCAAAGCAAACTACATTATCAGTGAAAAGTTAACATTTAATTTGACAGATATACTTTTTTGCTGAAATTACTGTTGATAGACTGGTGTGTGGCTGATTTTTTTTTTTTTTTCAAATTTAGTGTCATTACACCACAGTTGTGTGATAATTTGTTCTCTTAGTTAAAGTTTTTTAACTATTTCAAGTATTCATTTCTGGGCCAGGGATTTGGCTTAGTAGTTCCACCACCTGCCTTGCAAGCACAAGGGCCCAACTTCTATCCATGGTTCCAAAAGAAAAAAAATTAAGTATTCATTTCTACAGTGCCTCTTGATTTGATTTGCCCCAACTTTTTTATTACTTATCATTTCTTTCTCATTAGCCAGCCTGATATAAAGTAAGACTATATGATGCTAGTTCCAGCCATTTCACAAATGTATCATGATTACTTGAGATCTTACTGAAAAAAAAAAAAAGCCTACATTTTCTAGATTTGGTAATTCTTTTAAATCCACAGGGAACTCCTTTTTTTTTTTGTATCTGGGATCCAATTTGGGACCTTGCACTTGTCAGACAGGAGGTGGCACCACTGAGTTAAATCCCCAGCCCTCCACAGGGAACTCTTATCCTGCCTTATATTTTTCCTAATTGTCAAGGTGGATTTTTTTATTTTACCTGTCCTAAAAGAAGAGTAGTCTAGATAGATCTAGCCAAAGATAGTACTTGCTATTTTGAAGACCCCCACAATTTCATTACCATCATACTATGGACCTAGGCCTCCACACAAATTTTTGCAGAGACAAACCAAATTAACCCAAAACATCAGCAAAGTGTTTGGATCATTCCTGATCTTATTTGGTCTTCATTGGGTGATGCTAGAAGCCCTTTCTGAGATTTTCAGGGATTGTTGTATGTATCTTTTAGGCAAGTTTTTTGTTTGTTTGTTTGTTTGTACTTGGGATCAAACTCTGGCCCTTGCTGTTACAGGGCAGCTGGTGGAGCCACTGAGCCAAATCCCTGACTGACCCTTAGGAAAGTTTTTAATACTTAGATTTTTAGAAGATAGAACATATAATATTTTCTTGAATTCACATTTTTTAGACTTTCATCATGTGGGTAGTCCCAGTACTTGCAAGGCTGAGACAGGAGGATCACCACAAGTTCAAGGCTAGCCTAGACTACATAGTGAGCTCAAAGCCAGCCTGAGCTACATAGTTACAAGAACAAACCCTACAATCTTCTGATTTTTGTGGGAATACAAGGAAAGACTTCCTATCACTCCTTTTATTTTAGTGGGAACCACATCTGGATGAATGGAGCTCCCCATTGTATGCCTCTCTGAACTTTCCCATCTTCCCTATTCCCATGCTCTTACCTAGTGCTTCCTGGGAGTTGTAATCCAAAAAGTACTAGACATTTATCACACAAAGATCCTAAGTGTCTTTCAATGCCTTGGAAACATGTACTTGTGTTGTGTCGATAGTGGTAGACCCTCCCCCTCCTGTGTTGGGGAGTGAACCCAGGACCTTCACATTGAGGTGCATCTCCAGTGCCTTTTATGTTTTTAAATTTGAGGTAGAGTCTTGCTCAGTTGTCCTGGCCCAGACAGGTGTGTGATGTCCCTCGTGGTTGAATTTGATACCAGCTCTTGTGTATAATTCCTATTGTCATTATATGACCTGTATTTTTTTCCAATTGGTCAGCGATCCAGGGCAGCCCTGCAGAGGTACCTGTTCTACTGTAATCGCTATATGAACCACATGCAGAGTCTGCGATTCGAGCACAAACTCTATGCTCAAGTGAAGCAGAAAATGGAGGAGATGCAGCAGCACAACATGTCCTGGATTGAGGTGCAGTTCCTGAAGAAAGCAGTTGATGTTCTCTGCCAGTGCCGTGCCACACTCATGTACACTTACGTCTTCGCTTTCTACCTCAAAAAGAATAACCAGTCCATTATCTTTGAGGTAGGAATAGTTCCTGGATGGGGAAGAAGCCCATTTTGTCTCATTGGACAACTTGGTCTTTCACAGATAAAGATAATACAGAGAGTTGAATGTTCTGTCTGTTCAGAAAATATGGGCAAACATACTTATTAGTAAGATATGAGAAATTTTTTATTTCTTGTACTAAACTACATTCAAATTGATGTAGTTTAACTAGGTAGCAGTTACATGTGAAATGAGTACTAGATTTGAATCTTGACTTTATCCCTTTTTAGCTCTGTTAATTTGGAGCTAATTTTAACCTCTTATTTTTGTGTTTTGAAATGTGTGTTACTACTTTTCATGAATGTTATGAGGTTTAGGGAAGGTAGTTTGCCTTAATTAATTATATAGTCCCCCAGTGAAAGCTTTTATTTGGACAAAACTAACCTGAAATATTTAAAGTTCATATCACCTTTGGTAGAATAGTAAATGAATAAAAGGGGAACTTTTAGCAGTAAAGAATTTTCAAGTAAATATGCTCATTTAAAATTGATGTTCATAAGTTAGTAGACAGTAGGTCTGACCTGCAGATGAGGATTTAGACAAGTAATGTATTTAGAACTGTCTTTAGTAAAAAAACAACAATACAGTCTAAACTGCCTTACTCAGATTTATAAAGTAGCTGTGGCCAGATTTGACAGAGAATATGTTCTATCTTTTCTTCAAGTTTCCTTTTCAGTTCTTAGCAAAGAACAGTTCTCAGATTTAGAAGATCTTTCTCCTTTCAAATTTTTGTCTGTTCTTCCAGAGATACTTGCTGAATTTTTTTTTTTTTTTACCAGGGACTGAACTTGGGTCCTTGCGCTTGCGAAGCAAGCATTGGCTGAATCTTTAACTCTTCAAACATTTTAAAAATTTTTCTGAGGGCCAGGGATTTAGCTCAGTGGTTCCGGCGCATGCCTCGCATGCTCAAGGGCCCAAGTTTGATCCCAATCCCCGGTACCAAAAAAAAAATTTGTTCTAAATAAGGGAGGACAACTTGTTATCTGTGAAAAACATAACTTTACAGAAAGTGTGAGATCACTTACAAAATTATGGTATCAATGTTAAGAGTGGTTTCTTGTCAACAAACAGCTAAAATGGTTTATCTTCTGTTTTGTTTTGTTTTAATATCAAAATTTATTGTGTATTCTTTTTCTTGCAGAATAACCAAGCAGATCTAGAGAATGCCACAGAGGTGCTTTCGGGCTACCTTGAACGAGATATTTCCCAAGATTCTCTGCAGGATATAAAGCAGAAAGTACAAGATAAGTACAGGTGAGATTTTAATAGTTGTTGGGCACAAATTGGTCTAGAAAGACTTAGTGGTGAAGCTTGGTTTGACATGTCCAGTAGCCACTGCCATGTTTCTCACATGTTGCTGGGTCTATGGGGCAGCTCTCAGCAAAGAGTGGTACTGGGGAAGCTCAGCCATTAGCTATAGCTATTTACCTTAGATCCTGTAAAGAAAAAAGAGCTTAAAGAGAACAAGTGGCCATTGGGATGAAAGGGTGAGACTAGGACACTGATTTTACCCTGGGAATCCTATAGGCCGTGGCTTGATCCAGGGGTAGATAAGACTTAAAGACTTCTGTTAAAGATGCAAAATATTTGATTGCCCAACACAAGGCTCTTTCCCCTAATTTTTTTCCTTGCAGCTGATAATTTTTTCTTTTGTTTTTGCCTTACTGAGGATTGAGCTATATTCCCACCTGTTTTGTTTGTTTTGTTTTGTTGTTTTGAGATAGGGTCTCACTCAGTTGCCCAAGCTGAGCTCAAACTTGTACTATTCCTGCTTCAGCCACCCAGGGTGCTAGGACTACATGCATGTGCCACCACCCCAATCTTTTTAATAGTAATAGAAAACAGAATTTGGAAGACTTAATGATTTATACCTAACTAAATATTTTCTCAAGAGTTTAGCCAGGAATGGCTACTACATTAAGTTTATACAGCTTTTACAGTTCACAAAAATTTTGCATATGAGGATAACCTCATATGAAATTACTTTTTTTTTAAACTGTACTTCTCTGTTAGACCATAAGATCACTCATGTTCATCAGAAATTGTAACATTTTATGGCTGTAACATTAATTTCTAGGACTGGGGATCATAGCCTTCAGAAAAATACTCCCATATCACTAGAAGCAGTTTGATGTGTTATTTTTGTTTTCTTTGTTTTTTGGTACCCAGAACCAAACTCAGAACGTTATGCTCGTGAGGCAGGCGGCAGCACCACTGAGCTGTATCCCCAGCCCTTGACCTGAAAATTTACCTATTAAAAATAAGTGGTAAGAGCCAGGGATTTAGCTCAGTGGTGCTGCACCTGTCTTGCAAACACAAGATCCCACGTTTGATCCAGTACTATAGATAGATAGGTAGGTAGGTGCTTGCCAGATATGGTAATAGTCCCAGCACTCAGGAGGTCGGGGCAATATTGCTGTAGATTTGAGGCCATCCTGGGCTGCCCAATGTAAAAGGCCAGCCTGGATTATATAGTGAGACGCTGTCTCAAAACAAAGGTGCTAAGGTGCTTGGTTCCAAGTCTGGATATGTAGGAATGCCTTTATAAAAGTGTCTTTTCTATTACTGGGGGCTGAAATGCATTTTTTTTCTCTTTGTTTTCAGATACTGTGAGAGTCGACGAAGGGTTTTATTACAGCATGTGCATGAAGGCTATGAAAAAGATCTGTGGGAGTACATTGAGGACTGAGAATGGCCCTGCATAAAATGAACTCTGAAAACTTTACCATCTAGAGTGCTCATGCAATTAAAACAAAACAAACACAAACATAAAAACAAGAAGGCGCTAGCCTGTTCTGACACCGCTGGTCTGTAGTTCCAGGATTCTGTTTTGTTGACAGAAAGTTTAAGTAAATTATATTGTAATAAAAAAAAGGTAGATAAACCATTGTACAACAGTATTCTAGGCCGCCAACAAAAGTGTGACAGACACACTAAAAGCCCTCCAACTTTAACTTGTAACGTAGCTTCATTCTCAAAGCTGACGCCTTTTTCTTTTCTTTTCTTTCTTTCTTTTTTTTTTTTCTTTTCCTGAGTGTAGTACAGTTAAAATTCCACACAGCTCCTTGACTCTGCTCTTCATGTCCAAAGCAGCCACTTGTTGTACTTTGGTAAAGGACCCCTTCCCCTCCCCCACACACATAGGAACACACCTACACACAGGTCGTCCCAGGTTAAAATTCTCGGGATGGGGAAGGAGATAGGCAGAAAGGGGATTAAAGAACACACATACACACACACACACACACACACACACACACAC